AATATGGAACAGGTATTTTTCATCAAGTATTGATATGTTGAACTTTAAGTTCCTACAGAATATTAAGAAAAAACATTTAAAGTTAGAATATATTTTAAAAATAGGCATAAAGAATTATATACTTCTTATGTTTACACATAAGTCCAAAAATCTCACCAAATATAACCTTGAAGCAGGAAAATCCCACAACATTCCTTTTCCTGTCTCTTGCCTTCATTCACCACCCCCTTCTTTTTGAACAACAATCTACCTGAGAGATAGGACAACAGCAACTGGCATGTCATGACAAGCACCCGTATTCAGAAGACCAGAATGACAGGCACTCCAAGCATGAAATTACTATTACAGATTACCATCTGCAGTGCAGTTGCTTGGTTCACAGGAATCAGTATATATAGTTAGTCAGGGTGAGAATATTTGCAATTAACTGCTGGATGTGAAAATCTTCTGGAGATTTTCAGGATCATTTCCTTGCCCATCTTCTACATATAACTCTATGACTTCACCTTGTCTGTTTTCCTAGCTCTTCTCCTTTCCCTCTATTGATTAGGTAGTCCTCCAGATCCAGCTTTCCTTTTACTTGTATTATACCTTTCTATTTGTATTTCTTCTTTTGAATTCTTATACTAAGGAAACTATAAAAGATTTACACATGGGTGTCTTCTATATTTCACTTATGAGTGTATGTTCAAGTGGCATCCACTGCAATATAAAGGCTTCTAGTTTATCATTCTTTTTTTACTTTTAAAAAAAATTTATTCATTTTGATGGGAAAAATAGCAATGAAACAGTTTCTAAACGGGTTAGTAGGAGAGTTACAAAAATTAATACATTGCGTATTGTTGTCTGCATAGCAGTTATTCAGTTATAGAACCTTTGTCAGAGGACAAGATGCAGACATGATATCTTTTTTTTTTCAAACCAAATTGGTAGGACAGTTTCAATAATTAGCACATTGCATGCATTCTTCCTAGTGGTTAATTGCTGTACAAGATGCATACATGATATCCTATTTACAAACACCATTGCAACAAATCCCTCTATTCATTAAGAGATTGTAACTATATATCTATCCTAACCACTTTGAATACACAGATACCGAATGATCATCCATCTGTATCCCCTTTTTTTGCTATGTTCCGTTATTTGAATATTACAAGTGTGTTACCTCAGCAAATTATTCTAAAAGAGTCCAGTAGTCCATAATAGTGTTGGGTCTTCTGCTTCACTGGCAATGTCAGAAATTGTTGACCTGAGTCCCCTACAGCTCAACATAACAGCATGG